CCCGCGACTTCGGCGTGGACCACGCCCGGGTGGCGGAGTTCAGCGCCAAGGTGCTGCAGGCCCGGGAGCAGCAGAGGGAGCTGGGGGCCCTGCTGCAGGCCGAGGACCGGCTCCGCTACTACCTCAACCCCCAGTACCGGGGTCTCTTCCAGCACCTGGGCCGCCTCGAGGGCGGGCTGCTCTTCCTGGTGGAGCTGAGGGGCGACCTGGTGGAGGGGCTGGCGACCAAGGCGGTGGATGGGCCTCACGTCAAGGGGAGGGCTGGGCTGGGGGTGGTTGGCTCTGGAAGGCAGTCGAGGGGGATGCCAGAAGGGATGTGGTTTAGGGCTTCTTACTCGTGGTGCTACTCGTGGAGCCTCCACATCGGGCTGGAAAGTGTCCTGTGAATGTGATTCAGTGCTGGGGTCTCCATGGTGTGACACAAGGAAGCTCCTTCCCACGCTCTGGTACCCGTGGGAGCTGGCTTTGCTGCCAGCTGGGGAAGGGAGCGAAGCAGGGGGCTTTCCAGAGGGAAGTGAAGGACTGTCACTAGGGCAGTGCACAAGAGCCACACTGACGCAGCATGACATAATGCAGCTGCCATCGGGGCTGCCAGGCTGCGTCAGGAGCTCGCCGCAGGAGTGACGTGTAGTGGTGTGACCCCTCAGCCCGATACAGGGCCACAAGTGAGGTAGCAGCCATGTTTTGTTCATCATAAAGAGGAGATAAGGAGCTAATGATAACAGGATAACAGAGTTGTCATGACTTAGCTCAGAATTAACTGTGGAGAAAATAGGTGAGGTGGAATATCCCCAGTGGCTACATGGTGGACTGAGGTGATGTGAGTGTGGAGGAAGGAGGGATGTAGTGGGTGGCAGTGGCAGGAGGTGACAGGACTTCCCAGAAGGCAATGAAGAAAGACATCACGTTGGTCATATTCACTGACCATAACTTGTTTGTTGATACTCAGATCCAAAATAAGTGACAAGAAAAGTATGTTTTTGATGCCAGTGCTGTCGATAAACCACTGTCATCACATAACTGAAGTAGTAACAGCAGTGGTAAGAGGCCACATCCAGTTGGATCATCTTGAGCAAGACCAAACTAAATTTGCAAAATTAACAGGATAGGAATGTGTAAAATGTATGTGTCTAATACAGTATGTTCAGAAACATACTAAACCTATTTGAAAGTAGGAAAATACTAATTTGCAAACTTAACAGGATAGGAATGTGTAAAACAGCTGAATGTATGTGTCTAATACAGTATGTTCAGAAACATACTAAACCTATTTGAAAGTAGGAAAATACTACCTGCAAAACTAAAGCTTCAATAAAGGGACTGTCATGAGCTTTCAGTTATACGTTCTGAGAATATTTTTTAAAATGTTTGGGTTTGTTGTATGACTGGGCTTAGTTCTCCATATCTGTTCTTCTAGTCTTTGTTGTGCTTGTTGATCAGTTTTATTTCTCACATGTGATATATTCTAAAACAGTTGGTGGTAAAGCTTCAATGAAGGAACTGTCGTAAGCTTTCAGTTATGTCTTCTCAAGATATTTTTTTTAAAATGCTTGGGTTTGTTGTATGACTGGGCTTAGTTCTCCATATCTGTTCTTCTAGTCTTTGTTGTGCTTGTTGATCAGTTTTATTTCTCAAATGTGATATATTCTAAAACAGTTGGTGGTAAATAGCACATAAGCTGTGAAAATTTAAGCTAGGACTAGTTTGCACAGGTTTTTGTTTGTGGGTGTATTGGCTGTAGTTACTCTGAATAGTGTTTATTTTCAGTTTGGAGTTTCATTTAGGTCATTTTCCTCTGTTTTCCACAGCACCCAAGACCTAGAACTCTGCTATTCCAATGTTCCTGGTAGTGTGTCTGGGAAAGGTCTTGTGTCTTGCGTCTGAAATAAGCATCTTGCTCAGCCTTTAAAATCTGTTTGCTTGTATTGCAAGTAAGCATCAGAACAACTACAAGCACCCAAAGTGCAGGAAATCTTGACAGTCTGCAGTAGAGCTGATTGTGAGCCCTGCTGCAAGTGGTTTGCAGGGAGGTGGTGGGAGGGCAGGTGTATTTCATTCGGTACTTTAGGCCCTAGGTGGGAGATGCTGTGTTACTTCTTTTGAGGCTAAATGTCAAGAACAGAGAAAACTATATGGCAGAATATTAAGGCTATAGATTTGGGTGTGAGAGGGGTTGTTAAAGTGTTTTCTTCTTAATAAAGAACTTGAGTCTTGAGGAGCTGTCCTTGTGATAGAACATGTATTTTGAGAGTTTGTAGTGGACAGTTTCAGAATGGTTCTTTGATGGTTTGTCAAACTGCAGGAAAGAGACAAAAGTATAGAAAAGCTGGTACTTGGGGTGGATGTTAACACATCAGGATTCACTGTTACATATGATAAGTCCTCATCTGCCTGAATTTCTTAAGCTATTATTGTAAAACACTGAGCACTGAAGCCATTGAGCTATTTTAGCAGTGTCCATTAAATCAGAAGTCCTAGTGCCCAGGCTGTCAGGATCCTGAGTAAGCCAAATTGGGCTGAAAAAGCTGACTTAGAAGAAATTGAGAAGTATGGTAACTGCCTTACTGGAAAAATTCCATAGATCTTGAACATAAACCCTGAACAATGCATTGCAAATACTTAAAATGATGGATTGTGCAAAGGGAAGCAACGTGCTGCAAATAAGGTTTAGTTTATATTTAATTTAGTTATTAGAATGCAGCATTGTCACCTAGAGACAGAAAAATTATAGATATCCTCAGTGACAAGTTGTTATGACATAGCAAATGTCTTTCTGTGGCTCTGTAAAAGATGATGAATACTCTTGACACAAGTTTCATGATAATCAAATGGCAAAAAGTCAGTGGTAAGGTGTATTTTAGAGGCCTTTTTTTCCAAAGTCTGCCAAAAGTATATACAGGACATATTGTGAAGAGAAATTTTTCTTCATAATCTATCCAAGGGTGGGTTTTCTTTTCTACTAAATATATGAATCAATTATTACTTTTGCAACCCTCATGGATAATGTTAAAAGGATCATTTCAAACAGTGCTGGCGTAGAAGGTGTTTGAAAAGTTAGATTACAGTAAAGCTGGGCTTTTTTACAGCATCTTTCTCATGGTGCTGTTTGATTTTTTTTCTGTGTTCTTTTCCTGTATTTCCTTCCTTCCTTCTGCCAAAGGACATAAATGTTTTACAGTGTCTTATATAAATGAGTTAATTTTCTGATGAGCCCTTGCAATCCACAGAATAAAATTTGCTGAAAATCCTGTTTGCAAAGTCTAGTTTTTCCTCTTACTGCTCAGAACCCTCTCACCTGCAGTACTTTTTCTGTGCCAAGATTTTCCTCTTGAGGGTTTTTTTTTTTTATTTTGCTTGCTTACTTAGTTTCAGCATTTGAAATATGGACTCTGGTGGAAAATTCACAACATTATTATTTCAGGTAGCAAATCATTCAGCTATTGCTTTTAAAATATTCTTCATCTTGCCATATAATTTAGAAGAAGTCTGGAAGGTTCAAGTTGCTGGGAAAAGATAATTAAAAAGATAGCATTTTTGTCAAATGGACTCCTAAATACACCAACTTCCATAATTAAGCAGGAGCTGGTTTGTATCTGTAATCTTGTTCCTTTATTGGTCTACTAGAAAAAAAAGAAATGCTGTAATTGTTTTGAGTATTTTCCACCTCATAGCAGCTGCTTCTAAACAGAGCAAGGACCTGAAGTTGGACTTTTCCTAGAATTATTATTTTTCTCAAAGCTTTCTCACAAATTTGAACACTGACCTTTGTTTAATCAGGGAAAACATTTTACATTTTAGCAGAGGAAATGGTAGAACAGGCTTTAAGGGAGAGTATGTGTAGACTGTACATGGCTTTTTGGGGAAGGGAAACATTTGTGGTGGTAGATGTTTTACCTACTTAAATCCACAGAAGGATGCATTTATTTCACCCTTGAAAGACCTGTGGTGGTGTTGATGAGGATTCATCAACAGATTAGAGTGTCTGCTCAGTCAGGGGAAAGAGGGGCTGTATGGAGCATCTGAATATTGAAACAGTTTGCTTTAAAGATCTAACTAACCCTTAACTAGAGAGTTAAAAGTTTCTCTCTGAAAGAAAAAGTGTTTGGTATTTACCTAACAAAGGTCCTGTATAGCCATTTAATTACTGTAAAGTTCATTTACATTCCAATACAGAAAGACGAATAAGCAACAAGGATTTTAGAACTTCTGTATATTTGTATCTGCATTGACAAGGAAATGTGGAAATAAAATTAAATGGTTCTTCTTGGTGCTGGAGGAAAATTACAGAATACATTATATGGCCTGCTGGGATTTTGGGTTTGCCCAAACGGCCTCTAGTATTTCTTAGACAGTCCTAAGTTTTTACTTTGCATTTTGAAAGACTATTGAAACAAGAATTACCCACTGCTGTGTTGTAAAAATAAAATATTTTTCTATTTCATCAAAACATAGCCTTGCAAAAGCAGCACAGGCTATTAGATGTTGTTGGTGAAGCATTTCTGTTTTGTATTTGTTCAACAGACTACAGGAAAGTAACATAACAGGTGGTTAAGTCACCTGAAAATGCTTTTGCAAACTTCACTCATAGTATAAATAAGCAAAAATGGGGGGGAAAAAAGGAAATGTTATTGGTTTTTTTTAGGAATACTACACCAAAGACAACAAACACTGTAAAACACAAGAGCCAGGGAAGCTTTCAGCACTGCCATTACCACTGCAGTAATTACTGTTAGCAATAAAAAAGCAGAAAGCCAGTCCCCTTTAATTTGTGTCACTACTGAATCCCACTTTGCTGGTAGGTGTATTTTCAGCATCTCACCCAGGGGATGCTGTAGGTGTGTTTTGAAGCTAACACTGCTGCCTTGTGCTACAGTTGTCTGTAAGTATCTGCAGATGAATTTTCATTGTAAGGGGTGTTTTTATTTTTTGGTAGTTTGAGAGGAAAATTGAAACATTTCCCTCATCAGAGAGGCAGTTTTCGTTAATAAAAACCATTCAGTTTTTCATAAAGAGTTTTCCCATTTGTTACCCAATAAATAGGGAGCTGATGTGAAGATCAAAAAGGTTGTAATTTGCTGTTGTGTAGCAAGAACACAGAATGCAAAATATTATCATAATTTATTATACTTGGCTGGTAGTAACTGAAGTATAGCTGGTAATTTTAAATACTGATCTGAGTGTGTCTTGTTGAAATTTAAAATTGGGATGCTAAATAATAAATAGATGCTTTTTTCCTTGTTAATAAAATGTTGGAGATGTAATTTTATGAGTAGAAAGGCTTCTGAAATGAAAATAAGCATTTACTTACCACTAAATTTACAAAATAACAGACCCTAAATTGAGACTGTCGTTGCAGTCAGGACTTTCAGAAGCAGCATATACTGTGACACTAAACACAGCTCAGAATTTTGCTCAGGTCTCTTGATTTGAACACAGTTTTGGATAGTATAAAGTGGTTTATGTCTTTCTGCACTGAGGTGTTGTCAACATCTACCATTGCAGTTGGACTAGATGATCATTGAAGGTCCCTCTCAGCTGGAGCTATTCTGATGCTTGGGTCTGTGTCCTGCCCTGTAGGAGAACTGTCTTTCTCCCAAGTCACTTGTTGCCATCTGAGCCAAGTTGCTGGCAGTAGATGCAGAGCAGTGTGTTCGAAGTAATGACTAGTGAGAGTGCAGCCATCAGCAGTTTTCCCTTCTAGCTGCTAGACTGCAGCTGGAAATGGTGTTCCAGAAGCAGATGGATGGCAAGAGAGCTGTAGGAATCCATTAGTTTGCCCCCCGATCTGACAAATATAGCTTATTTGTCTGGTTTACAGTGTGCCCTTACAAAAGAAAACAAAGCAAACAATCCTGAAATACCTGGAGACTCACTACACCAGGGGATCTTTGACTGAAGTGATGTATGGTCATTTTCTAAAAACTCAGAGCTCTGCAGAAACAAGGATTCACAAGGGAAGTACCTTAAAGCCAGAATAAACAAAACAATCAGAATATATAAAAATTCAGCTTTTCCCCATAAAACTGTGGCTGATGCAAGGCTCCTTGAGTTTGCAGGCCAGTAGCTGCTCAGTTGTGCTGCCCAGGAGCTGTGACTCCCGTGTGGCTTGGCTGTGCCAGAAAGAGCCCTTTTTTTGGGGGTGTTACACAGACAATTCTGAGCACTTCTTGGTACATTGGTTTTACCTGCCCACGAGCATCAGCAAAACCAGTTTTGCCAGTATAGATGGGAGCTACTCTAAATGCAGTTGGGTGCTATATCGTCAGATTACAGCAAGTATTTATGTGCCCTGAGTCAACAGTAATTGGGCATTTTTCACAGAAATAGCCTGCTCTTCCCAGGTAGTTAGGCAGCACAGGTTTAACTTACATGGCTGGTAAGCCCCCACATCATCAGACCTGCTATAAATGTGCAGTAGGTCCATTTATTAGGCAGAGGAAGGTCTACTGCATCTGTCCCTCAGTTACACTAGTTGTAGAGTTTTGGCATAGCTAATCTAGGCCTTTTTTAATGTAATTTGTTATGTTACTTCCTCCCCTCGGTGCTGTTGTGTGGGATAATGTTATGTTCAGACAGAGAAGGCAGGAGCATCTGAACCAAAGTGTCAGTGACAAAATGGTGAGGGCTGCCCATTTCTTGAGGATATTTTGTTTAGTGGGATCCTCTGTGTCTCTCACTTCTTCAGTGGTACTTGATGCAGGTACTCACATCTGTGTGGGTTTGTTTCAGAGCTTTCTTTTTATGTTGGTGCCATGTGTTATTTGGCTTCCTTTGTTTTCCAGTGGAGATTGCTTACCGTGTGAATGTACTTAAGGTGAATTTTGTTTGTATTATTTCAGTTTCATATTCATTTAGCAACTTTATTTATTTATTTTTTTTTTACTAGCATATGCAGGCTTTGTTCAGCTTTGTGGTACAAATGCAGGTGGAAATACAATTTGGCAGAAGACTTTCAGCACAATTTATAATATAAATGAAAGAGCTTCACTGAGAAAGACCAACAGAAAACTAATATACAAGGAGAGCTGACCTATGGAGGAGTTCATGGATACCTCCTCTATTTGGAACATGGCAATTGACATTTCCACTATTTGAAGTATATGTCAATTTATGCTTCAATAAACAAGGTCTTCTTATGTATTGAGGATGCTGCTGAAAAAAATATAGAAAGATAGCAAAAATTTTCATGCATGACAGATCTTTCTATGCAGATGAATGGCTGTTTTCTTCTAAAAGAAGGTGGTTCAGATAGAAGCCATTACTGCATAAACTAAGATAAATGCCAAACCAAAGTCTGTGTATTTCCCTAACAACTTAGTAAGAGTAGGAGGAAGTAGGAAAAAAGGAAAATGAAGGAAAATTTGGCTCTGCACTTCAGCTATGGAAAAGGGCCAGAATTTGTTACCAATTTGCCTTGCAAACTCTGTGACTGGTCAGCTTTACCTGAGGGTTTTTTGTGGGAGGAGCTAATTTATGTTTGAGTGGATTGGTGTAAGTTAAAATACTTGATCACAGCAGGCTGCAAGCATAATCAGGGCTGGAAAATTTTAGGTTTTTTAGTATGTTGAATTAAAGAACAAAACTGTCCCTTTTTTTTCTGTATTGGAATATTTGTTGCAGTTACTTTGACCAACAGGAACTTTTTTAGATGTATGTCTCTTGACAAGTGTCTCTACAATTTTCATCTTCATTAGGTTACAGTAGGAAATATTTTGGCTTTTGTTACAAAAGTCCTGAGACTACATCTCAGATTTGCAAAGATTTTTTAAATGGTGTTTTCTGGACAGATACCTCTATTTATTTATTTATTTATTAATGGACCAAGCTGAAGTACATTGGAGCATAATTTTTGTCTATTGTATGTACAGTGGTGGCTATTTCATAAAAATCTGAATAGAAAGTGAAGGGGTTTTGTTTTTAAATAAGTGGTTATTAAGTTAGTTTCAGGTAAGGCTGTTGGTAAGCTGGTGCTGGTATCACACTGCATCCTGTGCACAAAGCAAATGTAAAAAAGAAGTACTGTGCTGAATTCAAGAATACTTTCTAAATACTTTCTGAACTTGAAGAATTTTAGGCAGGAAAATAACACAGGCAGCAGGAAATCAGTAGGGAATATAAAATTAGTTGCTATGATGAATGTTTCTGAAAGTATTTCATATTACAGTTGGCTTTGTGTATCATACAGTTCCAGATCTGTTCTGATTGTTTTAATTCTGGAGTCTTGCCCTGCTGCTTCTATTTTTCTTGCTCAAAAACTTTCATACCTCTAGAGAAGAATTCTGTAAAGCCTGTTGTTTTATCTGCACCCTGTTCAGAGATGATAGTTTTCTCACTCTTCACCCTGAGTGGGCACGTGCAGCTCTTGTGCCCAGTTGTACAATCCCTGCTAATGTCCAAACTGAAACAGTTTTGTAGCTTACAGCTACCTAAATGTGCCTGTACGTGTTCCAGTCCCCTCCAGTAGATCTGGTGTGTTCCTTGCAGAGCTTTCAACAGTAGCAAGTTCCATGTGTTAATCGTGGTGCAGGTTGGTTGTGCAGGATTAAATGGCTCTTCTGTAGTCCTCTCGTAAAGAACAATGGAAAAAATGTTTAATATAGTAGAGATGATTAATAGAATATGGTAAGAACCTGAAAATATAAATTTGGTGAGTTGCTTTCTGAAGTTAATAAGCTAATGCTAATAGTCTTTTAAGGCATGAACTGCTGAATACTCAAGAGATTTAGATATAGAAAACGAATAGTGATTTCAAGCCCTTATTTTCAGCAAACTTCCCATTATGTTTTTTGTGGTATTTAAATTTGAGCACTTGTGCGACTGCGGCCTTGTTGGCAAGACTGCTCAAATACTTGTTTATTGTTTGCTTCTCTTCTATATTGTTTTGCATTCTCTTCCATTTCCCTGTCTGCAGTTTACTATAGACAGTGTCTTTAAACACTTGAATTGTTTTAGTCTTGATTGAGGAAGGCTGAACGTGGTTAATCTTCACAAACAGATAAGCTAGTTTACTTGAACTGTCCAGTGGTGTAGTTTGAAATATTAGAGGCTGTCTTTGCTAACATTCATATGTTCTACCTAGCTTATGTAGCAGATAAATTGGTGTTTCTTCTGCTTGCAGGAAATGAGTGGAGTTCTAAAGAACATGCTGTCAGAGTGGTTCTCGACAGGATTCCTAAACTTGGAACGGGTTACTTGGCAATCACCTTGTGAAGTCCTCCAGAAAATTAGTGAGTAAGTGCTAGAAGTTGCTAACACCGTTTGATGAGAAGGTGATAAAATGCTTGTGACTGCACAGATCCACAGTTTTCAAGATACTGCTTTCCAGTAGTGAACCACAGGCAAAGTACAATTAAGGAGTAGTTGCATTTAATACACTAAAGAGCACACTTTAAAAGCTGAAGTAAGTAAAGGGCAAAGAGGATCATTTGTCCCATAATTTGATTCTTTAGGTCTCATACTGCACTTGTAGACTGCTCATTTCTCCCAACCTTCTTGGTTACTTGTCCTGCATTCTCAGAGGTGCTGCTGTTGCTTTTCCTACAGATTCTTTCAGTGCTACCTTCTCATGCTCCCTCTTCTCCTACAGGTGCTAGTGCTGCCACTTCCCATCACTGCTGTCACCTTCTCCCTCCATCTACACCAGCAGTGTAGGTGGAAAATTAATATGTAAATCTGATGCAGCATGGGGTGCCCAATCCTCAAGAGCATGTTTTACTTCTAATGCAGTGAGGCTTCCATTCCTG